TGATGCTATTAAGACGAACGAGTTACCAATTTCTTTGTCTTTTGAAGACGTTTTCAACCATATAACTTGGTATAGGGTTTTTTTTTAATTTTTACTGAAATTACAATATAAAACGTCCAACCTTTTGTGTCGCGATTGAAACTACATTTGTTATCAATTTTTCAGTTTTTTAAGAGTTACTACTGCTAGACAAACTTGAACCCCAATGATAGTTACATGGTCATCATTAACCACTGTTACTCTAAATGCATTCACATCTGATGATGTTGTAAGATTTTTTTTTAATAGTTCATCATAATTAAGACTGTGATCATTTATTGATGTATGTGAATAACTATAGTCATGATCTGACGCTACCGATGAATCTTATCTTATCTTATCTTATCTTATTCTTATATATATATATATATATTAAGCGGTGAAGTCAACAATTCTTTCGAAAATTCTTGCTTTTCCCCAAAATTCTTGCTGAAATTCCCTAAAAAAAAAAAAAAAAAAAAAAAAAAATAGATCGATTCGAAATTTCTCGCTGATTCCAAAAAACTTATCCGCACCCTTTAAAAATTAAGGGGTAGTTTTTTATGGGGTTTTTTCATGATAAAAAACCAACCCTTAAATTTTTCAAAATTTTTTTTGCAGTTTCAGAAAGAGAATTAACTTCTGCATCGATCTATTTTTTTTTTTTTTTTACGAACCCTTCATTTTTTATACTTTTTTTGGCCTCTTTCAAAATTGAATCTCTTTTCTAAGAAATGTATCTTTTTTTTGTAATATTATCAATGCCTATGCACTTTCCATTTATTTATTTATTTTTTTAAATTTTTTTGAAAAATTTTTTTGTAACTTCAATGCATATGTACTTTTCTATAACTGTATGAGACATAGAAAGAAATGAGAAAAAAGACACAATTGTTTTAAGAAATTTCTTATTTATATTTAAAATAAGAAATTACTCGTCAAAATATATTCTCAATCATAATTTCTAAATGGCTCATCATGTAATTGTAACGAACTACGCTACAGAAAAATAAGAAAAAGAATTCAAAAGCAATGAAACTTAACAGAGACGTTGAATATGTATCAAAGAGTGTAAAAAGTCATAAAAGAGAGCGAAATAACTTTCACTATTCGATTTTTTTTAGATTTTAGAATTTTTCTCTAAGGGCGAGATTCTCGAAAAAATTCAAATTCATCTCTCAAAGTTGTGTCAAATTTTTCAGAGATCTTTCCGAGCAATGAAACTTTACAGAGTCATTGCTTAGGTATCAATAAATGTAGAAAATTGTATTATATCAGAAAAACTTTTACTAAACCATCTTTTCTCGATTTTTGATTTTTTTTTCTGATTGCTAGATTCTAGACAAAATACAATTTCATGTTTCAAAATTATGTAAAATTTGCCACAGATCTTTTCAAACAACGAAACTTCATAGGGACGTTGAATAGGTATTAATGAGTGTAAAAACTCGTGTTAGATAAATATAACTTTTACTATTCGATGTTTTTTAGACTTTAGAATATTTTTCTGAGGGCGTGATTCTTAAAAAAATACAATTTCATGTTTCAATTGCATGTAAAATTTGTCAGAGAGATCTCTTTCCGAGCAATGAAACTTCACAGGGGCATTAATTAGGTGTCAAAGATAGTAAAAAATCGTATTAGATGGAAATAATTTTTACTAAACCATCTTTTCTTGATTTTTGAAATCATTTTTCATGTGCGAGATTATCGAATAAATTCGAATTATATCTTTCAAGTTCTGCTATCGAAAAAAGTTCGAATCGAATTATTTTAAGGCACGTGCTATATCGTAACAACATAGCGAATGTTAATAATAATGGACTACATTACCTAATCGAGAAACTAATTTTTTAAAGAGTCAGTAAACCAATTGAATTACGTGTGACCTGATCGACAAAAATTATTGAAAATGCACAGTTTCCACAATTTTTCGAAAGTCAGTGTTATGGAAAATAATCATTGTTGGTTTTCGATGTTTTGATGATGCGGGAGTATTTTTATAGATCAGAAGCGATTTTGAAACTTTTCGATTTTTCGTTCACGTTGAACATTCGAAACTTGACACTCATTTGTTTTACACGTAAATAAAATAATTTTTATGCACAATATGATAGTTTGCGAAGTATAAAAAATGTGTATATTATTATATTATAGATTGTTAAATAATAAGAAAATGAACGAGATGTATCGTTCCTAACATTATTATTATATCCTCTATCTAACACGATAACTAGTATGTGATACAATTGTTTTGCAAATATCACATTAAAACATAACAATATATTTAAATATAAGTAAAGTGAATAGATTTAACTAGGTCCAAATAAATAAATATTCTGTCATTGAAAAAACAATTTTTCATTTAAAATTCATTACATTATTAAAATTCAAGAAAAAGGCACCGTAAAACGCATTCTTTTCATTTGCTAATAACGCCACTTATAATACAGCAATTATAATATTGTTTTAAAAAAACTATAGATCCTGTAGAATTTCTTGCAAAGATTTTAATCGCATATTTCTCTATCTAATAATACCAAAAGTGCTTTCCAAAATTTATCGAACAATTCTTGCTCCCCCAAAGTGTCTAACACAAACTCCATTCACCCGAGCGAGCGTTAGCGAGTGAGGACAGCGCTAGTTAATTATTATCAATTGTAGAATTCGCTCCTACGACTTCTTGATCACCTTGATTTTGGTTTCTCCAGTTGTCATTATATGCAAGATGACTCTGATCCAATTTGGTTGATTTTGATGCTCTTTTGAAGGTTTGTTTACATTTTAAATTATCAACCATGCTATGTAGTCCGGACGCTGGCAGGGTTTTCGTAAAAATTTCGGACTCCACAGTATTTCTATGCGTTTCTAGGCTTATTTTGATGAGCTGAATCAATTTTTCGAGGTTAATTTTCTCGAAACAGTTGCGTTTAAAAGTTATAAACAAATTAATTGTTTAAACCGCTATATCTTGTAAACTATTGAAGATAGATAAAAACAATTTTCTATTATTTTATTCTTCTTAAAAAAACAAAGAGATTGACGTATATAACTTAAAAATCCGTTCATTCGAAAAAAAGTTATTTAATAATTAATACAAAATTCATAGGGACCCGTCCTATTCTTATCTGTCAAAGTCTGTAACTTGGCTTGTATTAGTGCGATCGAGCTTGTTGATATATCGTTTTGAAGGTAATTATCGACACGATAATTTGGTATAGTTTTTTTCTCAGTATAATTGTTTATAGGGCAATTCATATCCGTTTTTAGACGTAATTTTATGACTGTAATGTACTTCTCATTTGTTTATACGCGTTTTTCGCAGAGATAAATTATTAAATTAACGTTACAACTTAGTACATATAAAAGTACGTCAAAAATCAATTTTAAGACGTTACAATAAGTAATCGATCAAGTTGACGCCAAGTTACAACCTTCTAAGCTTGGGCATATAAACGAGCGGGCGTTGAAAGTTAGGGCACAAGCTCAGGTAATGTGATCTTCCCGCTCATATTACCGCGAAATTAATATTTAAATTGCTAATGTTATGTAAACTTATTAAAAAATATGTTCCGGTGCCTGAGTTACAAATATTTGAATAATACGCAAATATAGGTAAAAACGGCTATTTTTGGATCTTCGAAGGGCCCTAAATTGGGCTCTAAGGCCCCTAGAGGGCTAAAAATTTACCTAAAGGCTATTTTCACATACCCAAATAACATACTAAATTTTGGGGTAGATCCGAGAACCCCCCACACAAAAGTTGTACATATATGAAAAAACTGCTCGTATATAAACCTAATTCAGTCATAATGTAACTTCAATTAGCTTGAATTCATAGGGGTTTTCATTTCTTTAATGATCGGTATACAAATGTAATAAACTGTAATAAAAAGGAAAAAAGTTTTGAAAAACGTATCACATGTCCAAAATTGTTAGTAATCTTACATTTTTTACACTTTTTTACTTTTTATTACAGTTCACAACATTATTATGCACTTTATTTTAAAAAAAGTTTCCGTTGGGGAAAATTATCACGCAAATCAAGCTCCGTTAATACCTGAAATTAGTGAAACTGACGACTTATTATTATATTTGAATCAGAAGTCAAATAATTTAAAGCTTTTACAGAACTTTCCACGAGTGCAAAAACTATTCGTACAGCACAACACATTACTACCATCTTCGGCGCCTGTGGAAAGACTGTTTTCGCATGCTACATTATTGGACCTCCCAAAGTAAAATCGATTGTCACAAACAATGTTTGAGAAGCGAGTCCTCTGTAAAGCCAATGGCACAAAACTTTTTTTGTAAAAAAAAATATATTATTTTATTTTTACATTTTCTATTATTATAATAATTTAATACTTAGATATTAATGAAAATAAATAAATTATATAAATAAAAGACATTTTAATGTCATCTTTAATTAACTTTCGATTTATTTATACTTTATAATTACTGTTATATGTACGTTCCATTTTATAAACATGTTATTCGGATTTTCATGATAATTAACTCAGTAACTGATAATTAATAACTGATTAATTTAGATACCAGTTACCAGCTTACCTGTTATTTATCTGGTAAATGATACTAATTAATCAGTATAAAACGGAAAATTCACTAACATTGTGGGAGCTGCTAAGCTTTTTGAAAAAATTCTTTAATTAAATGCTTTATCAATGGAATCGGTAAATTTATTGTAATAAATTGTTGATAAAAAGTAAATTTGGTCTTTATAATTTATATATAAACCTAAAAATATACTTTTTTATTCATTTTCGGCTCAGTTCAAAAAGCAAAAACACAGTACATACCACTTAAATATAATATTTACAAAATCTCAATAAAACGTTAATCATCGGAGATGTTTACGAGATACATTTTTTTTCTATCAGTGTATTATAAGAAAATCATAAAAAACTTACGAAAAAAAAATTATTATTTCTCACTTCGACTCGTTATCAAAAAAATGGCGTTAACAGAAGTAATAGCGCTGGAACTTACATTATTTTTCTGAATTTTTCTGATACTGTAAGATTATTCTCTGTAACGTCGTGTAATTTTTATTTTGATGTGGACCTTTCGATTTTATTGGAAACCGAGTATAGTAATAACAACAGCAAGGAGTGGCTATAAAAGCTCGATTATATTTCTAATTATATTATTTCTGCCTGTGGCTCCAAGCATCCTTTCCGGTGATTGACGATTTTTAATTTACCAAAAACTTTCGTAGCCAAAGCGATTGCTGTTCGATATTCTCATCCAACCATTGCTCTGATTGGAGTAGCTGCCGCATAAAACCAGTGAGTTTATGGAACCTGGCGGCTTGACTGAAATAATTTGAATGTCAGTCTCTTGTGCGTTCCTGAGGCGGCTCGACCTGGTACGGTCAGTGAAAAGACGATCTGTTATGCCAAGCTCTTTATAGAGCTTCGATTCTCTCCTCTTGCAATAAAGAAATATTGAAGTGATGATGCCCTGGATTTTTCACATTTTAACACATTAAATTCAATTGGGAAAAAGACATAATTTTAAAAAATTATTAATTTTTCACTCACGACAATGAGATGAAGCACGCAAATGAGAATGGAAGCATAACGAAAGCCTACGTTGTCGCATAAAATACCGGCGATGGTCGGTCCAATGAATGCTCCGAGGGCAAAGGTACTTGTCCACAACCCACTTATTAAGCCGTAAGTCTCGATATCGTTAGGGAATCCGTGATCCCTGCAAAGTAAAAAGATTGTCAAAAATGCCCCACGTTGAAATTGCTGGTTAATTTCTTCATCAACAATTATTGTAAACAATTCGATCACTTTTCATATCAGATGGCAAATATGTCAAACGAACTGCCTCACTCACACTGCTTATCATCATCATTCAGCTCCCTCTGGCCAGTATGACTGAGAGAGAGAGAGAGAGAGAGAGAGAGAGAGAGAGCTGCCGCGTATGCACGCTTTTATGTACTACATGTTCAATTGAATTCTAATCGAACTCTCAATCATGCAGAGTATGTTTAAAAAGTCAACAAGTGAAATTTGGCCAGTATATGAAAAATAACCTTTATATTTTTCGGAAATTTTATTTGTTTTTCACAGAATTTAAGTTAAAAAATTTGCGTTATTATAGCATTTATAATTTACAATTACTTTTATGAGAAAGCTCTATGCAGCGGTTTTAAAGGTTACTTGGGTCTGACTTAGGTACTTATAAATATAAGTAGAATGATTATATATAGAATTTTCGACTCACATAGCTGTTTGTAGAGCATCAGAGAAACCAGCGACGAGCTGAGCAGCCATTCCTAAGCCATGTAGAGTCAGTCCAGTAATCGTGAGCCAAAGAATAGTTTTTTCGAAGATGAAGGGCACCGGTCCGATAAGACCAAAGCCGATGACTACCAGAAGGCAACCGACTACTGTTGCCGCTTTCGGCTTCGCTCGTTTGTCGCAGAGCCAGCCCCAAGCTGGAGCCGACAAGGCGTATGTGCCTCCGTTAATAACAAACATTAAGCCCACCTGAACGGGGGTGAGTTTGAATTGGTGCAGGTGCGGCTCAAGGGTGGCTTGTAGAAAGCCTATACTCATGCTGGTTGCCACAACCGACGTTGCAGCTAACATAACTCCAGGAATGCTCAAAACTTTCATTAACTTTCCTGCAGCAAAATAAATGTGTTCCACCATTAAAATGCATCAAGAGAAATTTGAGTTTTTTAATTGACTGAAGCTTCATGCCTATTACCTTTCGTATTAAAATCAGTTTCTTGCAAGCCATTATTAACAGGAAGTACAAATATCGTAATTACGGCCACTGCGAAGAGAACAAAACCTAGCACAGCGAACGGCGTTGTGAAACCTCCGATCTGTTAGTTAAATTAGCTTTATTATTTCAGTCAATTTTTAAATAATAATTGTAAGAAATATTGTAATTAACAGTCATACTATAGCCATACTATAACGTCCGAAAAATTATTTTGAAGTTATGTGAAACGCCTGAAATTAAACTAATAGCACATTACTGTCCTAGGCCGCAAAAAACAGAAAAGTCTCAGGGTATGTGTAATTAGGCATGAGGCTTTCTGTTTTCCCGGCTTAGGCCTGTATACTATTTTTCGTATCCCGTGGCCCGAAAATAGCTCTTCCCGTTTTTTGCAGCAGCCGGGAAGTAGTCATTTTCGGGACACTGGTATGAAAAACATATTTATGCCTCCTGTAGTTTTCATTTGGGAGACCTTGAATAATATTTTTAATTTAGGTCTACTGAGGACGTAATAGTATGACCTTATACAAATTGATTCCATTTAAAATGACGAGAGAAAAAAATAGTACTAAGATTGTAAACCTGATATAGGCCTCCTCCGATGGTTGGTCCGACGATCAACCCCAGACCAAAACAAGTCTCAATACTCGCAAAAGCTGTCGCAACGTTGTCAGGAAATTCTTTGGCGATGATGGCAAAACTTGACGTCACAAAAGCAGCATTGCCGAGTGCTTCAATTATTCGGATGATGAGAGACAGCAATATGAACGGTTCTCTTCCGTCACTTCTGTCCAGGAAGCCAAATAATATGACGCAGGTGCCGGCGGTGAGAATTCCTCCATTTAACATGAGTTTCGGTCCAAATTTATTCATCTGGTGAAAATAGTGCCATTAACGTGAAAATTCAGGAGTAAATCAAAATAAAGTGCACTTACATTTTTGCCGTAGAAAGGACTGACGAGAAACACCACCAATTCAAAAATACCAAAAACCAAGCCATATTCCGTTGCGGTGGCGCCTTTTTTTTCAGCCTGAACAAGTCCAATATCGAACATAATAATATTATTTACATTTATAATTTTATATTTTAAGAATAATAATAAAAATTATAAATAATTTTTTTTACTAAAAAGTTAATCAGTGAAGCAATAAATAAATCAAGGACGATTCCTTGATTTATTTAAAGCGAGGCAAAGGGATAATTCCGTATTAGTAAATAATGTTTATTAGGAATATTACGTCGAATAATACTTACAGAGTCACTGAGTGCGACTCCGCACGTATTAGGAATTAATTAAAGCGCCTAAAACAGGTAGCTATTGAAACCTATGCCGGCAATAATGAAGGCCATAGAAATCCTCTCTTTCCTCTCTTCCTCTTTTAAAATAATGATGACCCTAAAAGTGAAGCCAATCTATTCGGCCTCTGATTGGTCGACTGACTTTTGACTCGAGCCGAAACGTAGTAAAGTGACATCTACGGTCAAAATAGCAACTTTTTCGAAACTGACTGAAAAATGTACGCGCGCGAAGCGCGCCTGAAAGTTACTAGTATCATAAAAAAAATGAAAGAATCGTAGAAGGAAACATGATTAAAAGCTCTCTGATTACAAACGCAGGAGTGAAATAATGCATACTTATATTCTTACTGTCTGAATGACTAGAATAACCTTAAAAGGCACAAACTCAAGATGATAGGATTAATTACCGGCAGACTCATATTTTTTTTAACAAAGAAAACACAGAACAGAGTAACTGAAACTCGCTCGTAAAACTTATTAATTTGACTAAAAAAATAAATGAAAATATTGTTCTGATAGAAAAGGTTCTCAGCTTTCTTATAGTGCAGTCAGATTTTTCGATTATTCCCATTTTCCCAAAAAAAATAAAAAATAAACTTCAAGTTTCACTTTTTCCTCCATTCCTTTCACAGAATTTTTTATGGCAATTTTATCGGTGAAAATTGACAATTTTGAAAGATCTGATATCATCATTAAAAAGCTGAGGCAATTTCCTATCGAATTCAGTAGTCAGTTACTTTTTTAGATGAGTTTTGATACTTTTTCAACGACTTAAAAATTCGTGGTACCCCAAAAACATTCCCCAATGGTCGGTAACCGCGTCAAGTGAAAAAAAAACTGATGTCGCGATTGTACCTCGGAAAATGCATTTTTTTTAGAATTACTCATATTCAAAGCAGCGGGTGTGCGAAGCGAATAAAATTGGATGGAAAGGAAAAAAATTAAAATGGTAAAAAAATATATAAAAGAGTAGATTAACCATGATAGAAATCTTGCTTATACAGTAAAGAAAGCATATGCAAAGTTTCAGGGCGATCCATAGGATAGTTTTTGAGAACACGAAATACAATCAGACGTTGTTTTTGCTTTATAAATCGATGCCTCCTAGCAGCAAGATGCTAGTTGACAGACCATGGTGACTCTGCAGAGTAGAATCATGCCTCTTTAATTTTCACTCGGCCCAATGCAACTTCGTCGCGCCGTTCTCGTTGTTTCTGTGCAGTAAGATACTACTTTGAGGCGCCCGATATAAATAAGAAAAATTGAAACTTTGCTAAAGATGGCATGTTGTAAAGACAATTTAAAACTGCACATATGTAAGCCCTGAGGAGTAGCATCTTACCGAATGATGCGCCAAAGTAGCATTTTGCTGAACGACGCGACGAAGGGACATTGTACCGAATGAAAGGTAAACTGGCCCGATGCTGCTCTGCGCTGTGAACTAGCATCTTGCTGCTAGGAGCCATCGATGTATAAAATAATAAATTGCTTATTTGTAAGACTGGTACTGGTCGACAATTCGATTGTACTTGTCTAAACTTTCTAATATTTTATCTGCACGACACTTATTAGAATGAAAGAAGAAACATATGAGAATAGATGTACTTTTCCTACATAAATTTCATGAATGAAAAAGTACGGCAATGTTATCTGCACAACACATTAAAATACACACCTATGAAGCGAGAAAAGAAAGCGTCAGAGCACATGTTTATCATCTTCGGTCGATAGTTACGCGTGCTCTGAAGCTTTTCATTGTTTCGCTTCCTAGACGCGTAATCTACAATAGATTGTACTCCTTATAAAATTTTTCAAAATTTTTTAATGATATACATTCAAAAAAAAATGTAAAAATTTCTTTAATTTCGATCTATTTTTACATTCGCGTAAGTTGGCACTCATAGCTAATTTTGTTCTTCTTTTTCTACGAGTATAAAGTTAATATTATTTGATTCTCGAAATCGTATGAGATAATTTAAAAAATAGAAATTATTAAAGCCAAACGAACTTTAGAATAATAGAGACCGAAAAGTAATTTGAATATTACAGTTAATTTGAGAATGTACAATGTTTTTTTCTTGAAATGCACAGAATTTATACCAAATAAAAATCAAAAAAGGCAAGCGTTAGATATGTCAGGTATCCTACGTTATTTTATAAAAAAGTAAATGAAAAAAAATTTACCTCTGCTGGGTAGAATGGTGCTTGAAGTGATACGCAAATGGCATTGGCAAAATTAGCTACACAAATAACTATTAGCGTAAACCACTGCTTTTGAGTAAATTGGCTCATATTTTGTATATAAGAGGAACTTTTTAGCTAACCGGTTCAAATAATTTAAAGTTTTAATATTAAATAACATAAAATAAAGTTAACTGGATGAAAAGAAATATTCAACTCGCGTCTCGTACGTTTGAGAACCGTGGAACAAATAGTAATGCCGGCACCATGGGCATAGTAAGTATAGACTGCGGGCGAGCATGCAACGGAGTGATGCTCGAAGCAAGAGATAAAGAAGATGTAAGGCCGATAGTGTCTCTCTTTCTAATGCGCAGCAGCCGACAACCGCGAACAGTTGTACAAACTAAAACCCTGGGCCGAAACATATTAGTCACTAAAAGTAGTGTCACGTAAGATTAATCTCGTAGGCTGGTGGGTATGCCTGCTTTTTGTTTTCGTAAACGTACGATCGACTCCCGTTCGAAATTATTTGCATACAAAAAAAAGACTTTATCAATCGACAATTTACATAAAAGATCAAAAAGTAAGTTCATTTCTTTAAAAAAATCCCTAAGTATTATCACCCATGAAAAAAATTACATACATCTATCTGATAGGCTTTTGTCTCACCTTTCCAAAGCCATTTTTGGATTTTGAAAATTCGCAAATTTCGCTGAAATGCAGCTATTTTTGTACGATGCGTTTTTGTAGCTTAAAATGCAATCAAGTTAGAACCAAGACTTAGAACTAAGTTTTTAAACTTCAAAAAATTATCGATACCAGTTCCCGTCACTTTTCAGAGATTTTGAACTCGGTTTTTTTTTCTTAAAGACTTGAACTTGATAAGCGAACCACCCTAGTATTTATTTAGTTGGTGAATCGGGAAAATGAAGATAAAAATCTAAATTCGTTTTGAAATTGAGGTAATTAATTTAAGTAGAGGCCACGCAAGTGACTTCGGCAATCACTATAAAAAAATCACAATTGATCGAAAAGTATCTACTACAGCATAAATAGAAAATCCTTTACATTACAATCAATTAATGAAATTTTTTCTTATATTGAAACTTTTTCTAGAGCTTTTTCATAAGAATTCACTACTGACAAAATAAAACAATAATTTTCAAACTTAGTAATCTATAATTATGAGCCCCTGTTCAGAGAAACATCTATTACAACTGACCAGTTTCCTACAATATTTTCTGAACTTTATACATCTTCCAATCTTTCTGCGGTTTTTTTCTATTTGATTTTAGCGATATTAAAGTCTTCATACTTTTAGAATTTGGTGGCCACCATACTTGATTCCCATTTGCACTCAGCCAAAAATATGTCACTGGATCACGCTCATTTTTAAAAAATAACACGAGGTACCATTTTTCATTATCTTGAAAAAAAGTCTCAATACGTAAAGCTGTCGAATGGTACCATTTGAAAATTTTCAAAAGTGAAATAAAAAATTTTTTGTGCTACCCCTTCGCTCAGCGAAATGAAAATGTTACTTTAGGCTGGGGGATTCACAAAAAATTGTATTTGCACCTATGTAGCGAAAAAATAAAGTCTCAGAGCACGTGATTATCAACCTCGGCTTCGCCTCGGATGATAAATTACGCGTGCTCTGAGACTTTCCAGTTTTTCACTCCATAGGTGCAAAATATACTATTATTGCGATAATTTTGAATCTTTTTGAATTGAATTTTTAGACTATTTTAAATTTTCATAGTTTTTGAATACTAGCTATTAAATTTTATGAGAAAATATCTTAAGTACAAAAAAACTTGAAATTTCTTTTATTAAAATGGATATGTTACTATAATTTGCGAATATTTGTTACATAAAATAGTACGTGTATCTTCTACTTTTTGGTTGCTCCCTTTAGATTCATGTCACTATATGTCTTTTAATGAGAAAATTTTATTGATTTAAAGGGCACAAAGTGATACCAGCGTCGTTACGTAAGACATAGCCGTATTTATAATCTAAAAGAAATATATTTTACAGTCAGTCAAGTCGTTAATTAAGAGCTCAAAGGGGGCTTAAATGTCCATTTACAATATTAAACTGTAAAAGTAAAAAAAAATGTTTTTTGAAGAACGTACATACCAACCCTTTTCAATACCCCAAAAACAGTACTAGGCAATTTCATTTTGTTAGATAGGCAATTTGACACGGTCAAAAGCTAGACATAAAATAAACTTTAGCTACTTGTACTAAAATTTTTCTACTACAATATAATATTATTTTTTAATTATTTTCCATAAATCAATTCTACTTCATTATACATACTAGTAGCTGAAGTTCATCTTGTGCTTAGCTTGAGGTTGTGACCGAGACCAATTGCCAATTGAACATAATGAAACCTCATAGAACTATTTTATATCATCCGATGACTTTGAATCCTACGATAAATAGTTTAGATGTATGAAATGCTTAATTAGAAAGTCTTTAGACTCATCTCACTGTATTTAATGGTTTATAACTATCTAACTGGACAAATTACTTTCAAATGAGGTATTGAAAAGGTTGGTTATGTTTGTTATTTGAAAAATATATTTTTATACTTTTGAAGCCTAGTGCTCTAAAAGAAAAATTAAAAACAATGAAGCCTCCTTACAGCCCTTAGAACGATATTTTATGTCTATCATTACTCACAACGCCAGCTGTCTCAAAGTTTAGGGGCATCGTGGGCCCAATCGTCATGCAGCAAGGTTCAGCTGCCCTTGTCATCATCAAAATCAATAGCTTTCTAGTTCTTACCGGATACTCATACCATTTGCTGCAATAGCTGCAGAAAAAAAGAGTACCTCTCTCTTAAATATTCATCATTTCATCATTTTACAAATTATGAAAATACCATTTGAAATATATTTCATTGCTGGCATCAATCAGCAATTGGCTTGGGTAACAGATGACTATTACAAGGATTAATATTAATACAAAAGAAACTGCCATTTTAGCAGCACTAATAGCATCATACGATATTTCAACAACCGCCTGCAGCATGAAAAAAATCAAAAAAAGGTGATGTGATAAACTTCAAAAATGTTTTTACTCGAAACGTGACTTACCATAGATCCTGATAAACTCAAACAAATCATGAAGCCTGACATGACAATAATGAACTTAGGACTACAAGCATCATTCAATGTTTGAGAAAATCTGAAAAATTAAATTAGATTGGATATTTTCGTTCACAAGTAAAGCTCTTATTTAACATGATATATTTTACTCCAAGCACTTTTGATGTCGTTTAATCAATCCAATAACAGTTTGATGCACATAAATATCTATTTTTCGTTTCGCACTTAGATTTTGATTAGAAGTTTTTATTTCACAAAGTTTTTCAAAAACATATCTGCAGTGAAGGAATAAAAATAACGAAAAAAATGATAACGGAGTTTTGTAATTTTCAAATCTTTAAACAAATCATTAGTGGTAATCACCCAATCCATATAATCTTGCCCATGACGTAAGTAATGCAGGACGTGTAGGCCAAATCCAACGCACATATAATAAGCATGACTAAGGTAAGTATATGAATGCTGAAGGCGAGAATATAGTAAAAGTATTTTTCCTGATCGATAAACAGCTCAACGTGAACGCAGAGGGTTTTCTGGAGAGTCATGTTTTCCGGCAAGTAAGGATTAAGCACATACGGCAAAGCTACCGGTCCGAGTGCATAGCAAGCGAAGACGGGTAAAAGGACGCCAAAGTGTATGAATATGAGGCGAGATCCTCGCTTGCAAACCACCTTCATGGTATCTTTTTCTTCCGGATCGCTGATACCGAGCCAATCGATTGTCACGACTTCACACATTCTGTAAAGCTAGGTATGGTACTTTTATAAAAGATGACGAAAGAAAAAAAACGAAGTATATGGATAATTTTGATTCTTACGACTTTTTCCGAGCCTATTGCTTGTAAATAAACAAAATATGTGCCCAGCGCAACAATAAATTGAAAAGCAAGCTCTGCAATCATTGGTGGATATATTTCGTTTATAACTAATTCTTTGTAAGCTCTGGTGCACTACAAATTATTTTCATTTACTCGTGGTAAAATTAAGTTTCTTCTTTATTTAATAATTACCGTTATTGTGACTGCAAATATAAAGCTTGCGTGCATCATGGCTCTTCCGGATTTTTGAATCGATTTTGGCTGCACCGGACACAAAAAAACAAACTTGAGAAATTTTTTTAACCAGTAAAATTGATTCTCCTCAAAATCTAGTTGTCTGGAGAGCTCTGCAAGCTCAGCTTGTGTTGTCTGTACTGCCATGGTGTTAAAAACGAGGTATTCAAAATATTTTAATTTGATTTTACGTTATTTCATAGATGAAATAAAATGCTTTCTTCTCTTGCTTATTTCAAAGTAACTGGGTTAGATGTTTTATCAGAATAAATTTAATGTCATAGGTGTGCAGAAAATTTTTTATTGGTTTTCTTTTAATACATGAAAAATTTAAGGCTTGTCTTATATTAATGACTCATTAGTCACGCTTGCTTTATTTTTCGTTCAGTTAATTACTCTGGAAAGCCATGAGATCATTAAAATTTCAGCGAGTAAAACCTTACATGAATTTCCACGATCATCGATTGAAGTATAAGGATTATAATGGATTGCTAAAATTTGATGTGAATGAAAAAATTGGGGCTTACAGGCACTTTCGGATCGACAATTTTTTTATTTAATTCTTGGAATTATTCCCTTTAAATTGCATCATTATTTAAATCTCCAGCACTTTTATTTTTCACTGAGATACAAATCTTTTCGTGAGCATCATATCTTTGTTCTTAATTTCTTCTTCTTACACGTTTTCCGACATACATTTTATTTATTCATGGGAAACGATTCAAGTGATAGCACCCAGAGGAAATACATATTCTTAAATATAAATAATCATTATCGTCCGGTGAGATGATCGAACCTAAACAAATACTGTAACGCCCTGTGACAGCTCTGTACAAATAACCCGTAGTACATTTTTTAATAAACACGTACATCCACTGAAGATATTGCGCACTTGTGCTTGAAACTCGTATTATACGTAGCCTGTGTATCTCGTATAGCTTATGCTCCGTTTTCCTGCAGTTTGACAACTGAAGATCTATTGTTTCAACCCGCGTTTACACGACATATTCTTGCTCATCGAGTCAACGATCAAGATGCACTTGCTGCATCCAAAATCTATTTGAAGTTTCATTAACGTTTGCTACATCGAAGCTTTCGAACCAGTAGCTTTTATTATCCTTTCATGTTTATAGTTTTATTTTGGAATTTTGATTCATCAGAAGCTCTAGCTTAATTTTATTTGAACCAAATACCTTTTGTTCTTTAATTATTATTTAGTAATATAACTGAAATATAACTGAAGTAACGTATGAATAAAATTAGTTAATTGATTTATTACTATTTTTATTTAGTGAAAATTCATAATTACTTTTTTATTTATTAAATCAAATCTAATCGATTGTACCTCATCAGTACAAAGCTCTTAATTATTTTCTTTCACACGTTAATGATATCGAACTACAATCCATCAGTCTTACAGGACTCACTCAATCACCAACAATAATTAAATTGTTACAATAATTAAAGATTTTTTTTACTCAAAAAGGACAAATAACTTTTTGCTCATTAAATTCAACACTTATTGTTAACCACATTTACAATATAATCAAAATAAATAGTAAGCTAAAATAGAATTACGAAATTCATGCATAACAAAGTCACGAATAATCGAAAAATCATAATACCGGGGTCATCGCATATAATAATAGGGATAAATCTATGGAGGTATAAGTGAAAATGTATTGAACTGGATAAGTGAACATTGAAATGAAATATTTCACTCTAAAACACATTACAATACATTATATCAGTTGAATCAATTTCATTTCCCTGTAACACCCAAGTCAATATTAGATTTCTATTCTTTTACAAAAAGATTAAAACATTTTTCATAACGACATACAGTCGTGTAAAATTCAAACATACATTTTTTTATTTTATATTTTTATTTTATACGTCTATTCACACTTAGCTCTAAAAAATATACCAGCACTCGATCACGTTATCAAGAATTCAAAAACTCGCGCCCAACACATTACTCGCGACCAAATCTAACGAAGAGATATTTTTTGTACATAATAAACGCTCTTCAACAATTAATTAATCTTTTTTCTAATACCCCGTGTGTAATATCATATTACGTTCTGTACCAGTAGGGGTTCAGAGATACATTTTATATTTGTGTTTATTTCTAATGACATATGCATTTATATACTACGATAATTTTTGATTTTTTGGATTACAAACAATTTAAAGGTCGTTGCAATAGGTAAGTTATCGTATGAAAAGGTAGAGTTGAGGCCCCGTCCCCGCCTCAACTCGGTGAGATTCGCCAAAAAAATGTAAAAAAATGAAAATAATCTCTCCCTTTACCCTTTCATTGATACATAGCCATTACAATCGTATAAATACGTGTTTCAAGTTGTTAATGAGCACGATCTTGGATCGCGAGGCGCTTAATTTTTTTGTCATAGTTGAAATTCCTGGTCTTGCCTTGATGCACGGTACGTACTGTTTTCCTCTTTGATATCTGTATAAGAGGCAGCTCTCGGAAATATTGGTCCCCAATGAAGATCCGGTTCGCAGCAAGAGATAAAACGGCATTTTGCGTCCGTAGAAATTCCATTCCTAAGATGCCGTCGTACTCAAATGGAAAATTATCCTGTACGAGATCCAAATGGCATGGTTTGTCGAAGAATTTAAGAATGATCCTGCCGCAAGTTGCCACTAACCCGTAACCAATTCCCTGCATGTGGTGTATGATTCGATGGTTTATAGTGATATTTTCTACAAGGGATGCTCGTTTTATCACATTTAAATCTGATCCGGTATCGATCAAGAATATACCCCGGCCCGTTTTGAGATATCGGTTCGTTACAGATATTATCGGTGGCTTTCTTATCAACATCGAGTCCCGGTGTTGATCGCGAAGTGCTGGAGCGTTCGGTTGGCGACCCACGTTCTCGTTCAAATTCTTCTGCGCGTAACTGTGGTCATAACGGGCGATAAGACCTTCGTATCTGCAACGACGACAAATTGCTTTTTGACGCGGGGTCTTAACGTCCCCGTTCAGCTTCCCCGGTTTCTTGCAGTTGTAGCAAAAACGCCATCTAAAGGGGTTGATGGCGCGAACACGTTGAAAGGTCTTCGATGATTCGAGATTGATGAACATTTTCGGAGAATTGGGGTTCTGACGGTCCACTATTTTCTCCACCTCTTTGCGAAGCCCTCGCTGATTTCGTCGAGTCGTCCTTCTGTTATGTACGGTGCGTTCAAGCATGCGTTTGAACTATGACGTCGAGAGGTCCCGTCAACGAAGTACAACGAACTCTGCCACAGAAAAGAGATTGACTATAGTGACCTATTAAGAAGAAAAATATTGCACTACGGGAGAGCGTGCTGCTTCATCAATTGCGATGACTGCTTAACGGTTTCGAGCGCATGACCGAGCAACATTGGCTAAATTATTGTAGTTTAGCAGACGTAGCTAGGAAACTGCAATGTCTAAAAATTTTACAAACTATGTATTTATATTTATTTTTGACCCTCAGAAAGTCGAATACAATATCATTCTTTACCCTAACCCCCAGAATCAAGGTGAAAAACGGGGGTGAAAGTGTTTTTCGCTTATATTTCCAAAATTAAGCAAGATACGGAAGGATAGATTACACTAATCGATTCCTCGAAATTTTGTTTAAAAAGTACATTTAAAATTTTTGAAATGTCAGTGCAAAATTGTTCACAGTATAGATAAATTCGTTTATGCAATAGTATGACGAAAAATGTCTTTTTTCGCACACTTTTTAGTGCGCAAAAAGCGTTTTTGGACACTTGTGTGCGGTAAAATGCCCCATTTTGGACACGGGTATGCGGTAAAACGCCTCATTTAAATTAACGTATTTTTCGCCTACTATTGCATAAAATTTTTTATGCAACACGTGCCCATCTTTTTCCGCACTATGTGCGCAAAACAGGCCACTGCTACCGGCATAGCCGTCACTCATGTCTCTTCTCGAGCCAGCGCAACATGCACTCATATCTTGTTTGTTAGCACTCGCACAGACTGACGCCAGCCTTAGTGCATACACTGTGCACAAAAACACCTTTTGGGTACTTGTTGCATTACATAACTATTATAGTGGTCCGCGACATAACGCGCATAGCTAACCTACACGACCGTCGGTTGACTAATTTTTCGATATTGTGAACAATTTGGCACTGAAAATTTAAAGTGTCTTTCGATGTAAAATTTCACAAGGAAATACGGATTGTTGTAACACATTTTCTCGTATCTTGCTACGTTTTAGAGTTATGTAATAAAAACACTGTCACTCTCGCTTTCCACCCTGATGGTTGAGCAAAAAAATAATATCATGTTTGGATTCCTGAAGGTCATAAACATATAAATATACATCGATTGCAAACTTTTTAGCCATTGCCGCATGTGTATTGAGGTTTATACACTATGACACCGTGTACTGCGTATTACAGCTCAGATCTACTTCTCTTTTCGTAAAGCAACACAACCTCCTGTGGTGTAAGTCTGCATCGTGTTCGATAGTTCACGCTGCTTCATCTTTTAAAAATTATTACCTTTTCCGTGTGTGGTACTCGTTTTGCACGTGCTTTGCTCGTTCGAATTGCTCGTCGGAGTCGAAACTGGCACAGGGAGGTCGTTGACCAATGAGTCCCGAGACTCGGGAAGCGCAACTCTTTCCTTCAGACGCTCTTCCTCGTGCCAAGAGTCAAAAGGACATCCGCCCAAGTTGATACTCGAACACAAGGTCGATTGCAAAAAGGTGTAGAGGAAATATCGGCACACGCGCGTCAAAGTTTCGCACCGGGATATTCTCCCGAGAACGAAGCAGAGACGGCGAGCGACTGTGATATTTTCGTTCGAGAGACTAAGTTCGACAATCGTAAAAGAGACTATGTTCGCTAATTGCTTTTGAGACTAAGTCCATCAAATGATTCTGCGGCCAAGTCCTTCACGGATATTCTCCTAACAAAAGTCAAGTCCAACAGAGGTTCATCAATGTAATAGTTTCGCAAGTCAATTAGTCCGGAGCTTTGGTGGTGCTCGGTTGGTTTTTCAAGAGTGAATGACGGCGCAGCGAAGGGCCACGCTCAATATATACTCGTCGGATCGACGGCGGCGCGAGGGAGAAAAGGTGGGAGAGCCGCCGGTCGACCGTTCGAGCCGGCGGTTCTGATAGCTCAGATGCCTCGTGGCTGTCAGTTTTTGCGGACAAGAGAGGGAAGCGCCAATAGTCGCGCTGGGAGTGGAGCTCGGCTGCGTCGGAGATGTTGGGAAGCTCGTCGAATCCAGCTGTGCTTGTTCGAACGCGTACTCGGCGGCACCGTTTCATCTATTAATGGCCCTGCGCTACTGTTCGTGCGTGTATCGCAGTGGCATGCGGAGTCCAGTTGCGCCGATTTTGTAAGGTAACTTGTCGGTGCGTGTTTTCGTGGCGGCATTTCCCCTTTGAACTGTCGCTGCCCGGCGTCGTTGGGTGCATATGTACCTGCGTACTGCTATAATAAGGCAGATTACATTAGTGTGCGTGGACGAGCTGTGCGGTTCAAGTGCATGCGTACATCACAAAATCATCGGTACATCATCAGCACATCATCTGGGCGTCTTCGTGCACGAGCTATTTTTGTTTATCAGTGATCTTGAACATCGATTCGCTTGCCAATGATAGTGGCACCTGATCATTATCGCATTTTCTCTTGTAAATAATGTGCAGAGGAGTAGGTCCCTCCTCGGATCACGCCTTTGTTCAGCAGTGACTCTGAACGTTCTTGCTGCCGTGATGTCAACTCGTGCTGGGCATTAACTTGCACCGTCTGATGGTTCTCTTCGGGGATACCGAAGAAAGCGTACCCGCGGAGTCATCATTGTGATATTTTTGATAAATAACATAAAAAGATGTGCATTCGTCGTTATTTGTCAAATTCGGACCGCCCCATTTTTCAACAGCGATTCAGCCGCTTTCTTGTTCTCGAATAACGTACCCTCAAAATCATCGGTAATTGCCTAAGGAGTCGATTTCCCTTGCAGCAATAATTTGTCCACTTGTTTCATGTTATTCTCTAGAATCAAGCACAGCGGTGTGTCAACCGATTTTTGTGCGAGGCAATTTTGATTCCGCCCAAGATCGAAAAATTTCTCGACGACCTCATAACATCCTGACATGCAGACAACGAGAAGATGTGTGACACTGTGACTCTATATTCGTCGATATAATTTACGTTGAATCTGTCGATATTTTAAAAAGCTCACAGATCACGACATCTAAGTTTAGCATCTAGCCACAACATGTGGCGGTGTGAGGCGACGCGATGATGGTTTACCATTCTCATTAATTTCGGGTTCCTCCAATTTTTTTTCGAGATCTTTCCACGTTATTACATAATCATTTTTTCGCGGCTCTGTGTGCAACTCATAGTCCCAAATCAAAAATAATAAAGAAACAATGAAATGTTTCTGATATCAAAACTCGTGCAAGCTGTAATGAGATCGAGCCTGAAAGAGGGCAACACGACGATCTTGATGCTAGTCTGACTGCACACAACAAGTCGTACCGGTAGCTTTGATACACCTTTCATTCTTCAAACTCCAAACACCACACAGCAATAATCACAGAACCGTCGATAGATGACTGTTAACCATCTATACTCCTTTTTATTCGCAATAGAAGCACTGTTAGCTTTTAGACCTGGCAATACCATTAGGATCATTCATCATTATGTGTCAGCTTTAGACCTTAAAAATTTCTCAGGACATTTGATGATCCCGCGTATCTTATGTGGTCTCAATGGATAGTCAAACGTATAACGTTAAACATAGCCACATTACAATTTAGCCAAATGATAGACCTGTTGAAAAAAAATCACATAATATCTCACTTGACATTTTACATTAGATTTCGATTTGATATATAACGTCATGTGCCATTTCATACCGGAAATAATTAGTGCATAGGTAGTGTACAATATGCACGTGCCACTTGCAAATACACATTTTCAATGAATTAAATCTCGTATATGCTTGCACGTGCCGCATGCAAACTTAAGCATATATTTTTAATTAATTTAAACGTATAAAAGTTTAAACTTGCTCTCGGCGCGTGTAAAGTCAATACACGCTTTATAATTTTTAGTTAATGCATATTTCTATTAAAATTGCTTCTATAATTGTTAAATGAGACCATTTGATTAACCCATAATCCTCACAGGGACATCGTTACCGTAGTGATATCTTTGACCTTATAAAAGACAAATACCGACGTGACTTCTTCATTACCTATTATCACTTCGATTATCAATTACAAATATCATATCAATAAACATTTTGGTCAAGTGTCATCTCAGACTGATTACTTTGAAGGAAGAAAAACGAATATTACGAATTTTCTTATGTACAACTTTGACAAAAAAAAATAAATGGGAGTTATGACAATCCCACTCCTTTTAATTTTTTACAGTCAATATGTGATTTTTTACTTATGTCGACGGACGTTCAAAAACAATTTATTAATTAATTAACCAATGTAAATTGATAATATTTTAATCTACTTGAATTTGTAACAACTATTTAATAATACAATAAAACAAAAATCAGAAAAAAAATTTTCTATTGCCTATTTCAATCACCTACTTATTCTTTAATTTACATGGCAAGTTATAAAATAGATTTCCATAAGATTTTTAGCCGCTGCGCGTACGAATTTTAGTGACGTCTACAGTTAAAAAAAATAGGTACTAAGAAAGTTATTGTCCCAAAAAAACTTATTGATAATTCGTACTAATGTTACAATAAGCTATAATCAGAAAACCTTGAAATAATAGTATTCAAAGAGTAAAATGAATTTTTTTTATTAATTTCACCTACAAACAACGAATCACAGAACTTTAAATTACGATCTCTTAATTACAATTTTATTCTAAGAATATTTCTTGTGTACAACAAATGTTTAAGTATTCTCTACGTATTACCGTTTACATTCATCACGTCTTTTGTATAACAAAGTACAATTGAAATCCAACTTTAAATCGATACATTCGAGTAAATAAACAACGTCAACATTAATACAAATTTTTTTGTTTATATTGATAATAACGGTAGACGCACAGTTGAGAATTTTTCATCAAAATTTTACGAGCTTTTCATGAGATAACATTTTGCTCAATTCAATTATACGTTGATATCTTAATGTATGTAAGAGAGACGGAAGTACACTGCACTTTTGTTTAGTTACGTTTTTTTGAACACAATATTTGTTCATAGGTTTCCATCTTTTTTCACACAACTAGTCTACTGAAATATTTCATTTTTTTTCTGTAAATTTCAAAGGCAATAGCTTAAATATGAGGATTTTATCAAGGCAATCGCTTTGTATCAGAGTTTGATGTGCTCAGCTCCAGCACATTGATAACAGGCAGTAATGGCTGTAATATATTTTTGAGATTCCGTCCTTAAATACATTTTGTCGAATTCATTTCGATGACTTTGATCCACATCGAACAGATGCATTCCTCTGTTTTAAAATTATTTTTGGTCACACGCTCAATTGTTATATTTTATGTAAGACAACTTTGAAAAATTTTGAATCTCTTGATAATCCAATTTTTGTACAATTTTTGTTGCTGTTCTCGATATGAACAATAATGGTAGTGAGTTAATTTTATAAATAGAAAAAAAATGGTTTATATAAACTCTGCTATGTACATATATCTACAGATGCTTATAAACACTTTCTGATGTTAATAAATATATATAATATTCACGTGAAATACATTTGCTTACAATATTCAAATGATTGTAGAAATATACATATATATTCATATTAGATTCTATTATATTTACATTAATACATTATTTTGATATTCATTTTGTATGCAAATTATAGTATATTTCAACATCTTAGACCTCTTTATTTTAGTTAAACGCAAATATTTTTCTTTTTTTTTTACATAAAGCCAGCACCTTGATAAAAACTGTTCAATATAACATACACATCGACATAACAAGCTTCATTTTAAAATGCTTTATCGTGCATAAATTTCATACCTTTATCCATGTTTCTCAGGCACATTCACACGCACTCATTCACGTGCATGCACGCATTTTTTTTATATCCACGCATACACACGTTTAGACTATATTTTTTGTCAACGATTATTATAAATCAAGTTTGAAATTTCATCTTTTTTGTACAACACTCGAATAAATTTACTAAAATACTCGTTTTGATCAATTTTAAATATATTTTTCACAGCCCTTAATTCGCTTAGATGATTCATATACTTTTCATTACGATTGCCATAAAATTGATGCAATTTTACAAATGTTTGGTTTTTCTTTTTTTTTTTTAATCGTGTCGGAACTGCTGTTGGAAAAGATTATAAAGTAATCATCTGGTTGTGAACTTGTATAAGAAATCATTCATTTCACGACCTCAATTTGGAAGCTTATATTTTTTTATTTAGGTACTTGAGTGTTATTTTGTTTATAACCCAATCATAACCATTTTTTTTTTGTTTTTTTCTTTTTTTTTCATTAAATACTTGAATTTGTTGGCAGGATTTTCTCGTTCAAGCTTTTTCCTTTTATAATCAAATGAAATTCTCAAAATCCACTATACGTTTAATAGCTGCACAGTTATTGAAAAAAACATACACCGTGTGTAAAAGAAAATCACGTCGTGCAATAATAATATTATATTATTGTGAGTCTCGCGAGAGTCATCTCTGTCGTCGTCGAGTCCTGTCTCACGCGCCCGAGCAGTCGATCTCGACGATGTCCTTGGGAACGTCGACGAACTGATAGACCAGCCTCTGGCCGTCGACCTTGGCCAGTATGCCGCGCTGATAGTAGTAGCGCAGCGCTCGGCCCATCGTCTCGTAGTTCATGTCGGGCTTGTTCTTGTGCAGGCCCCAGAGCCTCGAGACTGCCTTGCTGTCCACGAGCTTGAACACGCCGCGCTCGCGATTCGTCCACTTGATGTAGCGCGGACAGTACTCGCGGTCCTGCAGGAGCTTCAGCAGAAACTCCCAGAGGTAGGTGGTCGAGCCCTCGCGCGACTTGCGCTTGATCGGCGAGCTCTGGCCCATGCTCGTGGTGTTGGACGCGTCGCCGATGCCACCGCCGGAGCCGATTCGCGGCTTCTTCAGTTTCTTCTTGGGGCGCGCCTGGAAGCCCAGCTCCAGCAGGTACAGATCGTCCGAGACGGAGGAGCTCGCAGCCTGGATCACGCTCGTGGGCACGCCCCCGGCGTTCATGCCGCCGGCCGAGCTTCCAGGTCCACCGGTGATCGGTCCAACGCCGCCGCCACCGCCGCCGAAGACGTTCATCGAGCCGCTCGTCCGAGTCGACGAGGCGGCGCCACAGGGCGCGGCGAACGCCGCCGGCGAGCCGAGGCTCGCTCCATTGTACACCGACGTCACGTAGCTGCTGTAGCTCTCCGACACTGCAAAAATAATAAATAACGCGATATAATTTTCAAGACTGACTTTTCGATTATCGAGAGAGTCTGCTGCGCCAGAGCTTTTTCTTTCCGCGAGTTTTTTCTCTCTTTCTCTAGCTCATAGCACGAGGCCCTAATTGGAAATTGTTGCTGTTGCGAGTGCAGCGAGGATGGGACAATGCAAAATAAACAACAACCAAGAACAACAACCGCATCGAACGCACCGGGAGCCAGTAGCTTCCAACAGAAGAAAAGAAAAGAAGGGGAGTGCTGACCTTCAACTGCGTCGGGAAAGTCAAGCAGTCACTGACCGAGAGACTAACTTTATTCTTTTATCCTTTTCTATTTCCCCTCTTCTATTCCCCTTGTGCGCTCCCTCTCTTTCTCGTTCCTCTAACTCGTTTCTCCGCTGCTCTTTTTCCCCCTTTCATAGTGGCACATCGATATTAGCAGTTAATTCCGGGGGTTTCTCGAAGCTTTTCGCTAATGAAAATTGTCGCAAACGCGTGCGTGTAAAATTTTTCAATTTTTTTTTTCATATCCAGCCCCGAGCTGAAGAAAAGCACAAAAGAAGAAGAGGAAGAAGCAGGACAAATAGACAAAGGTAGAAGAGAAGGAGCGCGCGCGTGCGAGAATTCCCCTGCGACGACGTAGCTGCATGCAGCAGCAGCAGCAGCGAGCAAAAGACGCGAAAGTATGGAAAGCAAGAGCTCTCCTGGTCGATAGTAGTAAAGAAGATCGAGAGCGAGAGCACAGCAGCGTGCACAAGCAGCGGCGAGAAGGGGTCTCCGTGAGTAGTAGAAAGAGAGAGTGAAAAGAAAGAGAGAGGGGAGGAGAGAGAGAGAGAGATAGAGAGAGAAGAAGAAGGGAGGGAAAGAGGTTAAAGAAGCCAGCAAAGAAGAGAGGAAAGACGGGATAGACGGGGTGAATTGCCGACGACAAGGTCACCGTCTGCGCGAGTCTGTGTGTATAGTTGCGCGCCTCGGACCGACCGAGTACTATATAAGCCGTAATGTACATACGACTATACGTATGCTAGCTACTACTACTCGAAGCTCTCGATATTTGACTGACTGAATTTTCAGCTCGATCGTCGACTATTTGCGTGCAACTGCAGATATCGAGAAGAGAAAATTGCACAATTCCCACGCGTTTTCCTCGTTAGAATTTTTCGGGTACTTTCGTCAGAATCCATCAAATTATTCTCGTTTGACAGCTGATCGCATTTGGCGCAGCTTTTTCTTCGAGCAACGAACGAAGTGAACCATATACACGTTGTGTATACCGATGAAATTTGCCACTTTTGTACCAATTTGCAATATCTTTTAACGACGAGCAGAAAAATTAGCTTGGCCAGCAATGTGGATATTTTGTACACAGGTTGAGAACCCTATCGCTTTCTATCTTTTTTCGCTCTTTTGCGCGCGCTCTCTCTCTCTCTCTTTCTTTCTCGCTCTCTTTCTACTCTTAAGAATTCGCAATAGTGCCAGCAATGTTTTAAGAGTGAGTGAGTAAGTGAGAGAGAGAGAAGAAGAAGCAGAAGAAGAAGCAAAAGTAGAAGAAGACGAAGAAGAAGAGGAAGCAAGAGGAGGAAGGGGAATCGTACATTTTTGCTTCTGCAGACGAGAACGAGCGATACACGAGACTTGTTGTATACAGCCGACTAGCTTGGAAACCCATTGCTAGTGTATAGAGAGAGAGAGAGAGAGCCTGCAAATATATATACACGGTTGCACTGGCTCGTTTGTGCGCGCAGCGTGCGCAGGGGCAGAGACCCAGGAAGGACGTGGTATCTTGCATATTTTCTCACTGCCGAGTGCCGAGCGCGTAAGCTTAGCCTCTCGTATATGCAACGCACACAGACTTCGAGGCAATTCTCGCTTCTTCTTCTTCTTCTCTCCGTATTATGCTCGGTTTCTTTGGGACGCATTTTACACAAATTTATTGGCCGCAGCCCCGAGACTTTGAAATTTACAACTCGATTAAATGCAGCGCAAAAGTTGTGTCCGTTATATGCACCGCGCGCGATAGCTCTCGCTCTCTGTATAGTTGTCTCTGAATGAAACTTTGGCTCTAATTTACGAATCAAAGGGTAATATCAAACGTTGTTCCTGGCGATATGTTGTTGTTTTTTTTATATAAGTTGATAATTACCGCAGCGGAAAAACAGATCGCGAACAGACGATGTGTAAATACAAAGAGCATTGGGCTGGCTCTGTACCGTTACCAAATCATTATGGCGTAACATTTGCTTATTCACGTTTTGATTATACAATATATCCAGGCACACTTTTACTCGGTGCAACGCGACCAAACCAGCTTTAAGGCTTTAAATGAGCCAAGGTATACACCACTACGTATACGCGTGCATTTGGTGCATTTTTCGGTTGCTGCGCATGTGTGCGTGCGTTTACTCTCACATACGCACGGATTAATATATTTTAATATGAGACGCGAAAAGAGAAGTTTCGAGGATAATGATGTATACTTACGAGAGGTAGGCTGCCTATAGTGCATCGCGTGCTGAAGACTTTGCGCCTGTTGCAAGTGATGCGGCGGCGGGCCCATCGCCGATGCCATACCGTGAGCCGAGTGCTGATCCAGCGGCGAGTTTCCGCGATGTCCATGATATTGTTGTTGATGATTCGCCTGGTGCTGCTGCTGCTGTTGTTGTTGCTGCTGATGCTGCTGGTGGCTTTGATGCGGATGTTGCTGCTGTTGCTGCTGCTGATGGTGAGGATGCAGCGGAGGCGGCAAAAATCCATTCGCGTTACCGTAGACGCCGGGACTGTGACAGACCGATCTACCTAGGGCTAGAGATGCAAAGCGGATTTTTCAAATTAATTAAGTATCTGAACACGCTTGTACTAAATGAAGTCAAGTTAAAGGGTAAACGATTAAATTGGAATCATAAATGAAAAAAAAAATAATAATAAATATACATAGTCGATAAAGCGATCCGATTGAGTAAATATGTTTGTAAAGCACCTGCTGTAAGGTGTGAGTGGTGCGAGCCCGCGAGGCTCGGCTGAAGCGAGTTGGGATTGAGCCTCGCCTTCAGCAGAAGATTCGTGTCTTCGTTGGCGCCGGAAGACGTGCTCGACTCCACGTCGCTCACACCGCTGTCGGCTGGGCTGGCTGGCAGTGATCCGTTTCCTATTTAATACATAGCAGAGAATTTTGTAATTTTGCACGCTCCGTTATAACGATCTGCAACGTCGCGCGCGTCTCCTATATACCTGACGGATTGGAGATTGATACGTTGACGGAGCTGTAGGGCGGCTGAGTGCCCAATTGCCGATTGTATCCATTGTGTAGAGTAACGACGCTCTGCTGCTGCTGCTGCTGAGAATGCGAATGCGGATGCTGCTGTTGCTGTTGCTGCTGCTGTTGCGCATGATGCTGCGAGAGAATTCCATGGAGTAGGCGATTGGCAGAAATCGAACCTGGCTCGGATTTGATGCTCGTCAGTGACAGCACGTCTTTGGCCGTAGAGTCGCCGCGCGGCTGCTGCACCAACTCTCTCGTGTCAACTGCAATTCAGCAATTAACGCGGCTCGATAAGAATCACATGGACATTTTATTTTTTGCGCGAGCTTTGAATTTTTTTTTTTTTTGCTCCGCGTTATATCGTATCTTATGTGTATCGCTTAAAACCGTGTCGAGCGATGAATAAACAAACATTTATTACATTTATTTATACGTGTACATATCGCGCGCGTCGAGGTAATAGATTCAGTATACATTCGCGAGTATATAACGTATATATATAAATATATATATAGCATGTTTTGCGCATAGAGGAAGTGAAAGCAATGTAGCACCACTACGCCTTCTCTCCTTGACCCACTGCAGCTTTTCTACTTTCAAGCAGCAGCGGCGGCGGCAGCGGCAGAGCCAGGCACGGCACGGCAAGCCAGAGAGCATGTGACTCCGCAAACACTGTGCCAGGTTCATTAAGCGGTTTCTCAAGAACGCGTGAGCGTTTTTCTTATTCGCTCTCTCGGTCTATACGTATATGTGTATACCGAGAGTTAACTCGAATTACATACGTGCGTTGTTCGAGCGAGAAAAATGCAAAAGTAAATAAATAAACGTTTTTCGGTCGAAAAATTACGTTGGAAAAGCTCCGCAGGTGTGCATGCGCGCGGATTCTCAAAAAGCTGCGCTTGAAGCGCGCGGCTGTTGTATTCAATTTTTCGTAATTTTTGTTTTTCTCTCTCTATTTTTGTTTGTGCTTTTTACGCCCGAATAATTAGAGAAAGGGAGAAAAAAGTGTCTCGGATCAAGAAGAATCGTCAACCTTGTCTCACCTTGGCGAGTCCTTTCAAGATCGCTTAGAGGGGTGGCGAAACGACGAGCGCCATCAAATTGTCTAGCCGCATCGATCGGTCAAGATGTTGGCACCCTCTCTCTCTCTCTCTCGGCTATATTGATCGCGACCCGAAAGTTTTTGACCTCTACGGGGTCACACAACAACGTACTGTGTCGAATACGCACGACGACGACGATGATTTTTAATCGTTATGATTCGTAATGACCGATTGAACCAATTTCAAAGTTAGCTATCGATTTTTTTCAATAACACTTGGACGATAATAATAATGACAGAAAAAAAGAAGTGCGTGCGTATAAATAAAGTCTCGGGCGCGCGCGCGCGCAAATAAAATATTCAATTGAGAATGGAAAACACGTACGGATCCCCGTATAAAGGAAAATCGCGTTGAGTAATAAAGCGAATTCTCAGCTGCTCTCGAGCTCGAGTCGTCTCTCGAGTGTGTTAAACTCATCGCGCGGCGCGGCTGCATCACAAGACAACGCCTAGTTGTTAGTTACTGCGCGCTGCGCTACTATATGCTATTACTACTACCACTACTATACGAGAGCTTCGAGCTCACAGGCCGAGTCTAACGTGTCAGGGCCAACTTAAGCGGAATACCCTTCTTATGAGCAATCGATTTTTCAACAAGATTTCCAGGTCAGTCTAACATCCGGAATATACAACGTTGAAAGTTCGTTATCTACACGATCATTACTCGTTTTATATTATTATATCCTTATACTTTTTCTTCTCTCAACTATAATCCTGACTTCCTATTCCAATCTACTGTATTATTCCGTTTTTAATTTTTTATTTATTTTTTTTATAACCAGGACGCGCGCGCGCTCGCCCGCTTAGTATGCATATTCTAAAATTAAAAATGCCCGAATGAATATTCAATAATCGAAGCTTTGTATATTCCATTCTCAGACAAAAACAAAATCAATATCGAAAAAAACAGCAGCAGCAGCAGCGCACAATGATCGGCAAAAAAAGAAGACGAAGAAAAAAATGATCGAAGAAAAATGCCGCGCGCGCGCGCGATATAAATATAAATTTTCATGCAGCGCGGCGGCGGCGTCTCTCTGCGCGTTACATGCTGCTGCTACTACCACTACTGCGACTATACGTAAAGGAAGAGTAGTCCATTCGTTGAATGCATCAGCCCTGACCTACATAGTAAAGCGTGTTGTCGACTAAACTTGCCAACGATACCGAAACTATAATAGTATACGCGAAACGACGCGTTATGCGCGGTATATAGATATATAGAAATTATGCCCCGCTGCATAGACTCGCGTGCTGCGTTCTTCGCCGTTTATCCCATATAAATTTCGCTTTCTAAGATTTGCGAAAATTATATAAAATCGCTCGGTTCTCGCGCGTAGTACTAGCTTCGCCGCGCGGACGATCGGAAAAAAATACGACTACCTCGCAGAGAGGCAAAGAAGAAAAAAAGGCAACTTGGACCTTTACTGGCAAAAATGCTCCGATTTTCTTTCTCTCTCTCTCTCTTGGACTCGACGAATGCAGCTACTGAAAACTCAATCATAATACGCGATATACATACACATCCCATCCGCGCTCGCGCGCTGAGCGAATTATTCCGAAAGTGAGTGAAAAGAAGCCAAGTGAAAATTGAGATCAACAATTAGGAGAAACGGAGGAAGTAGCTCATTGATTAGGTGTGTAAGTTTCGCGACTCTGCCAGGACTTTCCTTTGGAAACTTTTCACTAGTTCATGTGAAAGTTATCTCGCGTGTGTGCGTGTGTGTCTGCGTTGTATATAAACCATCGTGTGTTTGTGTATACGTGCGTGTGGATGGATATATATAAAGCCGACGACTATATACACGACTTTACCATCATCGCAATCAGAGAACTTCCTATACTGATAACAATGCCTACGATAAATATGCATATATATATTTTAACGATGTCTTTGATTGATCGATCCAGTTCTTAATGGCTCAATAGCTTATGCAATTGACGAAGAAGAAGTAGTAGAAGGCGCGCAGCTTAAATAATAGCAATAATTCACGCGCTCTATATTTCGCGCGCGAGCGCGTCGTGGCCCGTATTTTGACTATTTGCCATTGGCAGGTGGGCAAGGTGGCTAGAAAAAGTAATTGCCAAAGCAAACAATGAAAAAAAAAGACAACCTCCCTCCCTTTCCTCAGTTTTCTATGCTACCCTCTCGCGTCCACATTACTCACGATAACGCTTGATGAGATTTTTCTTGTAGGGCTTGGTGCCGGGTGGGCGCGACCTGAGCTTGCAGTGCTTGGGATCGGCGACACCGTCGACACCAGAAGCACCACCGGCGCCGCTGTAGCTCGAGTCGTCCGAGTCCTCGGAGCAGGTGCGCTCGTCGGCGTCCGGGTCCTCGATCGAGCCCGCGGACGAGTCGTGGCGACGGTGGTGATGATGGGGATGTCCGTGCAGCAGCAGCAGCCGGGCCCGATGCTCGAGATCCGAGTCGTCGTGATCCTCCCGTAGCTGCTGCTGCTTGCCGTTACTGCTCGTCGTCGACGTCTTACTGTTGGAGCTCGGCGGCTCGGCATCGTTGTAATCGCCGAGGCGCACCACCGTCAGATCCAGCGGCTGCTCCTCGAGCATGTTGTCTGATCGGTCCACTAGCGGTGCTAACGGAGCTGTCCAGTTGGTGCTCGTCTTCACCGAGTCTCCGAACTATCGTACCACTTATTGCGCATAGCAGCGACCATTACGCACCAGTCGGCGGGCCAGTTCATCGAGTTTTTTTCTTTTTTTTACTTTTAATAACAATCCATTCTCCCGATCGTCAACTCACATGGTTGAGGCGACTCGATCGTGGTGGAGGTGGTCACACTACGGCGTTGTCGCACCGAATAGAACGATCACGAGGCTGCTCATCGAGAGGCTCCGTGGCTTGCAGCGCGCACTGTAGAAAATTCACTCGGCTCGATCGAGTATATCGAGAGGGTCACGCAGTCCACGAGATAAATTATTACGAGCCAGCAACAACAACAATAAACACCAGGGGGCAATTTTTTTTTTCATACACTTGCACTGCAGCGCGCACGCACAAACAACAAACAGAATGAAAAAGCACAGTCACCGCAAGTTCAGGCGCGAGGCGCGAGCTTTAAGCGCGGGCTCGTTCGAACCACGACACCATAGGCCAATAGCAGTCTAGTATCTACGATGATCTAGGCTAGCAGTACTAGTAGCGCGAGGCGTAGGACCGGCGCGCAGATTCGAAACTGCCGGCTACTGACAACGACGACGACGATATGTTGGCCAATGCGCGGCTGTCACTGCCACTGGTGGCTCGTGCTGTTCACTTCGCTGCTGCTGCCGTTGCTGCTGACTGTTGGCATTCGGCAATGTGCCATATTATCAGCACGGCACACACAACGCCGCTTTCTTAGCTTTTTATCTCTCGGCGGCTCTCGTGCGCGCTACACACGTACGTGTATACGTATAATAATAAATAAATAAATGTATGTATCTGTACGCTGTTTTATAGCCGATGGTGATTGTTTTCGTGCGTGTGGGGCCAAAGTCGGAGCTGTCTTATAAATTCACGTTTCAAAAGCTCTCTCAGCCACCAACACATGCATCAACATAATGTTACAATAACAATAATAATAATCTTGAGCGAGAAGCGTCCACAGGTATATAGCTTTTTAACGCACGGCGCGCACACTGATATAGGTAGTAATAGTAGTAGTAGTAGAACGCGCACACCGTGCACACTATATACACAACGAGTCGTCGTCTTTACTGCTGCTGCTATATAGTAGTACGACACACAAAGCTCACAAGCTGCTGTTGCCGCTGCTGCTGCTCTGCCTACGGGCGACGCGATGCTCGCCGGTGGCACACTGACTGACTCGAAACCGGACTAGCCCGCTAGTCCAGGCGTGCGCCCGCGATCTCGCCGTCTCTCTCTCTCTCTCTCTCTGGCTTTGCGCGCTTGCCTCTCTGCGTCTCGCTCTCCGCCAGCAAGCGCGCACAGCACGGCTCACGGAGCTGGGTGAGTGTATGTGTGCGCCCTGCCTCTGTATATAGAGAGACTCGCTTTTTGCACGATCTACTTGTGTGTGTGCAAGTGTATGTAGGTATATATTATACACACGAGCGGCAGCAGCAGCGCGCAAGCGAGCTCTCGTGCTTACTTTGCCTGTGTAGCGCTGGCTGTGTGAGCTGCGCGCGCTCTATCTTCCTCTATCTCTTTCGTTTTCGCACGGTCCTACTCCAGCTATACAGAGGCATGCAGCAGCTCAGCACTCCTTCCCTCTCTCTCTCTCTCTTTCTCTCTCTCTCTCTCTTTCTCTCTCTTTCTCTCCGTACGCTCTCTGTATATATAGGTATATGCATGCAATTCTATCTGTGTGTATGTGTGCGCGCAGAAAAGAGAGACAGGCTTTAGCGATCGTCGTCGTCGTCGTCGCGAGGCTCGTTGAAAGCAACAGTAGGCGCGCACACTGGTGTAAGTAGCCGAGAGCTGCAGCAGCAGCGTGACTGTGTCGAGTGTCGCCTGCGAGCCCGAGCCGCGCTTCTGTTACGCCAGTGTGCACATGCAGCGCAGGCTATATAAGCTGCATATCCTATATTGCACTCGACTGAAATCGACGTGCCTCGGCTTTTGTCGTCGTCGTCGTCGTCGTCTCTTGAAAATGCACACTACTACCACATGCATGCATATTGCGGTGCGCTCGCGCCAGTTGCATACAACAAGCAACAGCTCGCAATTCGCCGAGGAAGAGAGAGAGAGAGAAAGAGACTCTCTATACACATCTATCTCATACGAGTCTCTCTCTACTCCTTGTCCAATGCGTATATATACGTATATAATAACTCGCTTCTTGGCTTCGCAGCTCCTCTGTTGTATACGTGCACCTATATATTAGCGTGCAGCTCACGACTCCCTATATCAATAAATACGCGCGGCTGCGGCGGCGGCGAACTCGGTGCATATAATACGCGCGCTTCTTCATGGCCGTTTTCACACTCTTTTCGCACTCGCTTCTTTCTCTCTCTCTCTCTGTCTGTCTCTCCGGTCTATCGGTGAGCCGTGCATGCAGGCAGACTCTCTCAATTGCGCGATAAACTGCGCCAACGATGTTCGCTCGCGCGCCCGCTCGAGAGCCGCACGAGACGAGCATACAAACTTTTGCGCGTCCATCGTGTATGTATGCGCAGCTGCAGCGCAGCTCGAGATCTCCAGAGACGACTGCGTTGCTGCTGCGGGAACCGATTTGCAAAGCTTTGGCTGAACGACGGGATAGTTAACATCCGATGTAAATGATCTAATATGCGAGTCGAGGCTGCGATGGGTCGCGATGCGTTTGTCGCTCTTTTGAGCGCGCCCGCGCAAGTATCGATGTGTGGTAGTTATATAGACTTTCCGGGAGAATCCAAGTTAGTCGGGTATCGTATGTGTATACGTGCGACCTAGATATATCGTTAACCATTGCTCCCCTTGCGTCTCGCATCTATATAGTATCGAGTACTCTAGTATGATCCTCTAGCCACGCGCGGAAATTCGAAGAAAATCTTTCTCTATATCGTGTAAGAATCCGATGTAAAGGTATATAACACGTTGTAGGATGAGGACGGAGTTGTCGTGATGCGCTCCGAGCGAGAGAATCGACGTTCTCTCTCTCTCTAGCCTGTCATGCGTGTTTGTGTCTGTATATATATCATTTATGTATACAACCGACAGATTAAAAAAAAATAAATAACGCGAATAATCAGCACACGCAAGGCTGCTGCTGCTACTTGCCACTACATAAGTTATGACCGGTTGCATGCTATATAATAACGTCGTCGTCGTCTATACCCAACGACGACGACGACGACGAGCAGAGAACTCGAAAAGGGGAAGTCGAGTTTGCTCGGGCTGCTGCTCGTGTATATACTATATACTACTATTGCACAGAAAGAGAGGAGGAAAAGAGGAGGAAAAAAGAGATAGAAAGAGAGAGACTCGGAATCATAGAGCGAGGGGTGCAAGAGACGGAGGAGCTGCCGAGGTGCAGCGAACTCTTCCAAGGCCTACCCCTACCAATCCTACCTGACCTCTCCCCCTTTACTTACTTCCCACACACACATACTTGTATACTTACTGGCGTGCGCAAGCAAGCGAGCACACACACACACGAGTATATATGACGGCGGTGGCGGCACGATACAAAAATACATGTGCAGCACACGTACGTATACGTACGTATGTGTCGAGTTATATGCGTGCGTGCATGCGTGCGACTGCGTATATATACCATACAAACACACTTGTGCATGCATCATGTTCCCGCATTCGTTTGCATTAAATGCGATCTCTCTCTCTCTCTCTCGCTCTTCAATACCCAAAGAGAGCCTATACGAGTATATAAGAAGTTATGCGGCTGATTTGTATTCGTATTGGAGGGATTTCGCTATTACATACGCACGAGCTGACCAGCAGCAGTCGCTGCGAAACAACAATTTTTCGTAGCTGCGCTGTCCGTAGTTTTCGCACAATTTTCTTGACCCCCTCGGACGTGCGCGATCGTTGATGTATATTTTCAACGAGCCCGCCGAAGCCCGCAGCACCACCGGGCCAGCCACGCGATAAAATCGGATCTATGTCGATCGATGTGAGGCGCAAGCGCGCACGGGCTTATATAGCATTCTCAATAATTATGTAATTGGAAGTCGATCGCGGGAGCCCCGCGCGATTGAGAAAATCATGATCGCGAGCCTTACAATTTGTATACAATGTATACTACAACTCGTAGGAGCGAGAGAACAGAAGTTTTTTTCTCTACTTTTTTTTCCGTCGTGAAAAGATACTTTACCCGAAAAGACGCATTTAATTTGAGAAAATTGCGAGCAGCAGCAGCAGCAGTTTTGACGAAGGAAAACTGCGTGTATTGAAAGTGAAAGACTGAAAGTTGCTAACAGGTTGCCACGCTTCCTTAGAGAGGAAAATGTGTTTCTTTTTCAGCTTTCCTTATTTTTATATACATACACGGCTGTGCACATGCACATGCGCTCGCTTCTCTCGCGCGCGCGTTATATAGGAGTAGAATCAAATCCACTTGTGAACGTTCGCGATATATAGTACATAGGCTTTTGCGCTCACGAGCTGCTGCTGCTGCTGCTGCTGCTGCTGCTGCTGCTGCTGCGCGCGCGATGTACGCATGTCAACACGTGCAGGCTATCCCTGGCCTAGATAAACGTCACGGAACGCCGCAACCACTACTACTACTACTACTACTACTACTACGACTACTTCTATGCTATATACTACTGCTGCTAAGCTCCGCCGCGGCTAGTTGCATCCGACGCAAATGAAAAACTCGTTTCACTCTATAAACCAAATGCACTTTCAATGAAAAAGGAACGTACTTTTACTTTTTTATATACGACGAATGATCTACGTCGTGGCAGCAGCAGCTCGAGCGAGCCTTTAGGAGGAAAAAAAATTATACCGATATGATTCGAAGGGAAAAATATAATTGATTCGCGGTATATTCGTATGTATGATCCCCCTCCCTCCCTGCTTTCGGCTATTTTCGAACTGTAAGTGTGTTTCTAGAAAAAGTACGCGCGGAGAGGTACTTGTAATACGGGCAATTCTTTGAAAACAATCGAGGAAAAGTGGAAAACTCGAGTGCGCGCCGCGCGAGCCTCGATAACCGAATTCAAACACGGCGCGGCGCGGCTATGATTACGATTATGGGAATTATCGATTATTAGTCTATTCGCGTTTGTAGGTCGAGCTTTTTGATTATTTGGAATTCAGACTGTGTGCTTATCTCGATGATTTCAATCAATAGCCCCAGAGAGAGAAAAAAAAATCATTAGCGCGCGAAAGAAAGAGTCATATTCGCTTTGTAGATTTTTTTTATGCAACGAAGTATCGGGGATTACGTAACGAAATTTATAAAATTGTTGAAATAATTAAAGCTCGCACGCACGAGAGACAGCTAATACATACTAAACAAATTATTAATATTCGAGATTTTTTTGTAAAAATCGAACAACAATTAAGCACATGTATAAAACTTTTGCATTAAAAATATATTCAATACTGCAGATAAAAGAAGGTAAGAATTATGTGGTAAGTGAGTCTGTGTTGATCGTTGATGCACGTGGTAAAAGTGCAAGTGTGTCAAGGCGCGACCTGAATTTTCCTATTCTCATTCTCTCTACCGCTAAACTTCTCTCTCTCTCTCTCGCTCTCTCTCATTTACCAACTCCCTTTCTGTTCGCCGTTTTTATGCCATCTTATACATTTTCTGCCTTTGCTTCCCGCTCGCTTTTTTCTCTCTCTCTCTATCTCTCTCTCTCCTATGAATTTAGATACTTCGCAGTAGTGGCAGTCGAGGTTGACTCTAACCGATTGAATATTCATAACGTAAATCAAAAAAAGATATATTTTTACAATATGATTTCTGATAAAAATTCTAGCGACACGCGACGTTAATTAGACACAGCGACGATATTTTATTCATTTTTTTTACCTATCATCCGTAAGTATTAGCGAGTTGTAATTCTGTTACGTATATAGCAATACATGTATATTATACCGCCGCGAGCGAGAATGGAATTAACCCAGCGAGCGCGACATAGACACAGACGAAAGGAGCCCGCGCCTGAATTATTTGCAATAAAAATAATGGAAAGACTCGTTAATGAGAGCGCGCATAGGTATACACCTAAAAGCTGGTGCGCGCATTATAAAGCCCGCGACTTTTCCTACGAAAACTACCGCACTATAGGCCGTGTGCGCGAGCGCGAGTTGCGTCGCCGCGCGCGATGATAGCGCGAAAAAAAGTATCGTAGTTGTCAAGACTTTGTCTCTCTCTTTCTCGCACTCGCTCTCGCTCTCGCGCATATAAGAACAAACAAGTCTGAAGGCCTATATA